CTGTACATATTAGTATGCTAACTAATTACTGCTTTTTTTGCCCAGGTAAGTAATTAAATCTCTTAATGGACATGCTGTCCTTTTTTCAGAGGCACACCCTGCACCCTTTCAATCACAGATCAGAGTGTCTGTGGACTGTAATATTTCAGTCACGACTAAAAATATGCACTTTCTTTGGAAAGTAATCCTCCTCTGCACTTCGTTGTCGGTTTCATCTTGATTCATTCTTAAGTTGCTGCAGTGTAAACATATGCACCTGTACTGGATATTTGAAGTTGGGAAGGGGAAAAAGAGCTGCCTGTGTGATTAAAGGTGGGGGAGTGCTACACGTGACTGTTGAGCCACATTAGGCTAACTTCATAGTTGAACTCCTTGGGTTCACGTGCCATTAGACTGAGAGATTTCAGCAGCTGGGCGACAGGTTAAATATTCATCACTGTGTACACAAAGACAATGTTTACCCGTGTGCATTTTTGTGTGTGTGTGCTTTCACTAATTAACTAATCTGCAGGGAATTGAGTTGATTTGAACTTGCAGTAAGTGCTCATTTAATTGGGAGTTGTCCCTAGAAAATTTAATGCAAGCCCAGGCTAGTACCCTCTTGCACCCTTTGCATGGCTGTTAGAATGAGGAAAACTAAGTAGTTGCTAAGTCTAGGTGTTTTTTGTTTTGTTTTTTCCTCAGAAGAGCTGACCGGGAATGTTGAAGGCCTTCCCTGTCTCATTCCTGCTCGGCTTAGTTTGGTGATAAGCAAGTGTTTTATGGCGGTACAGTCTTCCAGTGAACTAAACAGCATGGCTCATAAAAGAAGAATTTGCTGACATTTAACATTTCGTTTCTTGTAGTGAGGAAGTTATTCAAATTCACACACTCCTTCTGTTTCACTCACAAAGAGCTTCAAAACTATCAGCACTAACGACGGTAAATTTGAACTAAATATGACCAGAGTCCTTAAATCAGTCGCAGTCATGCAACTGTTTCAGAGTTATTACAACGCACATTATCAATTCTGCAGTTACATAAATGCTGTGCGAACAGGATCCGGTTAGACTGGTGCCCCTAAACCTCAGACAAGCTAAAGTTTCCAACTGTGTTTTTCACAGAGCACCAGGATCGTTGCCTATGAGGTTCAAAATTAGTCACGCACAAGCATCGACTCGTCTTTTTATGAGGTCCCATTTTGAAGGCTAGACTGGATGTGACTAAGAAACTGAGGGACAAAGCGGCAAGGTGGCAACATGTGCATCAAAAGTCAGCCCCAGATTAAAGTAGACATGAAAGACTACATGTATAAAGGCTCATTGACACCATGGAGCCCTGCTTTCGAGAATGTTACAGATCCGACTCTGTCTGTGAAGCTGGATTTAAGAAATAAATGTTTAAAATGGAAGTTTTTAGAGCATGTGTAACGCCATCTAGTTTAAGTAGAGAACGTGACATCACTGGGTTGGTTGGCTGCTGCTAATATTTTACATGAGCTAACTAGTGAACAGTAACTAATAAAAAGCAGTTAAAAGGGTCATTTCTGTGCTGCTCCTGGCTGAAGCAAAGAGTTTTTTGTTAAAAAAGCAAGGATAGGCTGTTCACATTCACTCTCTGTCTCTAAAGCAGTAAATGGTTCTTCAGTGTTTGCTAGCTGCACTCAAACAGGAAATCCACCTGTTAGCTGTAATGTTTGGGTTTGTAAACCACTTTGTAAATGACGAGTGTGGAGGAGAGCCTGTTTGAGGCAGGTGCACTGGTGGTTCAGCAGACTGTCAAGCTAGAATCCGATACAGATACTTTTTCGTCGTTGTGTCAGGTGTACTGAGCGGTCTAATAAGGAAGATGTGACCAGCAGTGTTTTATGCAGTAATGTAGTCTTTCTTTTCCCGAGCACATCTAAACAACTTACAACATAACAGCTTACTACATGCAAATGTTCACTCTTCAGACTCAAAAGCCATGTCCATCTTTTAGATACAGACCTTGGTCGCAAGTATTTATTTCTTTTTCTTTTTTTATGCAACGTCATGCTGGTATGTGTTTGCGGTACCTTTGTTTCATTTTCACTTATCTGCATCTTCCATTACGTTTTACCCTACTATGTCTCTTTGTGACATAATTTGTGTATCTGACGAAGTGTGAGCCATATGCAAAATAAAAAAAATTATGTGTGTGTGTGTGTGTGTGTGTGTGTGTGTGTGTGTGTGTGTGTGTGTGTGTGTGTGTGTGTATATATATATGTGTGTGATATCATCGACTAAAGCAAAATTACATTTTCCAGGAGAAAGGAAAAACAGGCCAGAAATTCTCTCCACTGTCTTATAACCTCTGACCTATAACCCCAACAGGAAGGTCAGCCAGGTCATGGTGATGGACCAGGACACTCAATGGCTATACCAACTCCTAGCTGAAGTCCAGCTGGAGAAGTTTTACCTGCGCCTCAGAGATGGCCTCAATATCACTCGCATTGAGCACTTCGGCTACGTCAAAGAGGCCGATCTGGAGCAGATAGGAATCAGCAAACCTGGTGAGCCTGATCATCTTCTCTGATCATTCATCCTGGGTGTAAATAAATAGGAACCGCTCCCCCTGACTGAAAACATTTCCCCTTAGGCTCAGTAATGGAGGTATGGTTAGTCACAAAAGAAAGACGGGCATTAAGTGGCCCTCAAACAAAAGCATTGTCCCCTGTTTACCTGCAGTAATCAGTGTAGGCCTTATTTATCGATGAATTTAAAACCTGTTTGCATAAAGAGTCTAACACAAAAAAAAAATATCTTTCTCTTAGCCACATCTTCTGGCCTCTCAGACTTCCCCCTAATTTAAAATAATAAGAAATGTTTTCTAATGCAAATGAATTCACTTTGTTTGCATGCTTAAGTTAATATGGTTAATAACAGCTAAGATTATTAACATACAAGCGCTACTTAGTTTTCAACATACTGTCACACAGAGCAGCAACTATTGCATAGGTTTATTATCAATTATTATTTGAAAATTTTACAGTTATTTATTTAGCGTGTACCATTTCAGAAGGGTGTAGAATAAGGAAAGCAACAATTACTTACTGAGAAACTGCTGATTTAAATATATTTCATATACAGTCACAGAAAATGCAAACATGTCTGTATTTTCTTTCTTGCAGGACAAAGAAGACTATGGGACGCTCTGAAACGCTACAAGTCGAGCGTGCGCGTGCGGTCACGGGTGCCGAAGGTCCAAAACACTTCATTTGCATTAGCTTTGTTACGGAGTGTTATGTGTTAACTGTCTTTCTTAAGCCTGATATTCAATTTGTCATTTTTATTGATTTAATGATGCACACAGGTGTTCAGTGGGGAGCCGTTAACCGGAGGTGGTCAAGCACAGGGCCAGGAAGTCGGTGTCCGGGCTCTTCCTTGTCTTATCCAAGACAGTGAGCTGATTCTGGCGGAGAGGCTGGGCTCTGGGTCATTTGGGGTGGTGAAGAGGGGAGAGTGGCATACACCCACTGGAAGAGTGGTGAGAAGCCGTTTTACAGATCTGCTGGACTTTCTCTATAGATGTTGTGGAGACCGGAAACTGAAGTCGTAACCAAAACTTTTGGCAGTGGCACAAAGTTTGTCTTTAACAATTAATAATCGTTTTGGCTTTTACGAAGATTCCACAAGTTTTAAAAACTGTTATTGGCAAATGATTTTGGACAGGACTGTTTACAAAAAGGTGGACATAATCACCATAACATCACTCTGTTTCATCCATTGGAATGTAATTGTGTTGTGCAAGGTCTTTAAGCATAGAGGGAAAAAGTGCTTGTAAAAATGTGAGGGTACTTTGAGTGCTCAAATCTAATTACATGGATGACAATATTTGGATGACAGAGCGGAAATGCTAAACTGTCAGCTAACAACAAGCTTGCTACCTTGCTAATCAAGCTAGCAAGCTTGGTTAGCAAGGTACATCCACTGGCTAAAGTATAACTCGCATAGTACACTCACAAAAAACTGGAGCACATACTTCTTTAGCAGACTGTTAGTATAATTAATCACATAGCATTCCGTGTTAGTCAGGAAACTAAATTAAAAGCGCTCCAAAAATGACTCAGTGAAGGTCAAAGTTTGCTCATAGCGGATAGCTATAGCTGCCAGAGTAAACATGTGCTTGTCAGTCAGAGAAGCCATACTCCTCAGTTTAAACCTTAATAATGTATAAATTTGTGAGTTAAAAAAAATCACCCTCTGTGCCACCGTTATAAAGGGAAATAATTGACTGTGTGTGTGTGTGTGTGGGGGGGGGGGATCCTTAGAAGAACTGCAGTTTATGGCCCTTGTGTATAAGCTTAACTTTTTTGCCACTTGATTGCACCTTGCAAACCAAACTTGCTAAGGTTAGTTGATAACTTATCCTTACACCCTAGATATTGTTAGCCATTGCTAAAAAAAAAAAACAAGAAAAGAAAGAAAGAAAATACCAGCAAGTGACTTCAGGGTAGCACCGTTTACCTTTCATGTTCTTTTTTTTATGATTATACCCTGGAACAGTAGGCGTGTACACACCCTTGCTGCCTCCCTTTGGCTTGTTAAAGTGAGGTGTCTGTCTGTATGCCTGATTAAAACTGAGCATCTCTCTTTATCCCCTTCCTCTCCTCAGTTGGCTGTGGCAGTTAAATCGCTGAGGAGCAGTATGTCGAGGCAGGCGGACACACTGAAAGACTTTCTTCAAGAAGTAACCGTCATGCAATCTTTAGACCACCCCAACATCATACGACTCTATGGTGTGGTGCTCACACAGCCCCTCAAGATGGTAAACTAGAAACAGTTCGTTGATCTATTCAAACTACTGTGTTTTGTAGGAGCCAGATTTCTTTTAAAAATCCTTTTTATTCTTTTTATCTAGGTAACAGAGCTGGCCGCCTTGGGCTCACTTTACGACACCCTGCGTGCACGTCAGTATGAGTTCTCTCTGCTCCGCCTTTGGCTCTTTGCTATGCAGATTGTGTCAGGCATGGAGTACCTGGAGAGCAGGAGATTCATCCACAGGGACCTGGCTGCAAGAAATGTACTGCTGGCATCCAAGGATATGGTGAAGATTGGTGACTTTGGTCTGATGCGAGGCCTGAACCAGGAGAAAGATCACTACATCATGTCGGCACACAGACGGATACCGTTTGCATGGTGGGCAGTTGGGTGAAATTTGAAGCTTGAGTGGGAAATAATTAGAAATCTTGTTAGAGTCACAACAGATTCTCACTAATAACACCAATAACTCTTTCTTTTGCTTCTGGTTTGTCTGCCTCCCTTCTCTCCAGGTGTGCTCCAGAGAGTCTTCGCATCGGCTCTTTCTCCCTTTCCTCAGACGTGTGGATGTTTGGTGTCACTCTCTGGGAAATGTTCACCTATTGTGAAGAGCCTTGGTTTGGTCTGTCGGGCCGGCAGGTAAGCACTTGTCAGAACACTGACGCCATGCTTTTTCTGTATTTGTGTGCATGCCGGCAAGGTATTTGTCATTCATGTTTGGAATGTGTATCACCGCCCTTATGTTGTTTGTTTTTCTGGCATGCTCTATGACTCAGTGTGTTAGCATCACTGACATTCACTCTTCAACTAGATATTATGGCGGGTAGAGCGGGAGGGCGAACGCCTGGAGAAGCCACCTGATTGCCCTCTGGAGCTATACACTGTAATGCGAAAGTGCTGGGCATGCAATTCTGCAGACAGACCCAGCTTTGCCCAGCTCAGCGCGATGGTGGCGGAGGTCTGAAGCTTTTCTTGTCCTTTTCATTTAAAAAAAAATCAAAGAAGAGATTGCTGTTCTTGCCTCATGAATATGCCTGAAAGTCTGCGCACTTTTCTGCACGTCACATCAATTCTTTCATGTCTTCCTCCACAGGCTAAACCCAGAGAGGTGCAAGCAATAAGAGAATTTGCAGAACCCAGAAAGCTCACACTTTTGCCCAACGACCTTGTGACTGTCATCGACCACAGGTGGGTGAGCGAAAGGTGGGTGGGTGGGACGAAAGAGGAGTAAAGGAAAAACTTTAGCTCGCACAATGGACCTTTGTTGAGATGAGACGGGGATTTGAACCAGCCCGCTCTTAAAGAGACATTCCACTCTTGGCGAGTCCTTGAATGCATTTCACTTTGCTGAACAGGTCGAGCAGCTTTGAAACTCGCCTCCCTGTGTTGTTTTTATTTTACGTAACACGTCTGATGGGTCTATTGGTATTACCTGCGTCATGATTAGTCTTTTCTTCCACCAATCTGGTTGAATATAAATCTGAAAAACTTCATGAAGTTTGTTGTTTCCGACACAAGAATCTACAAATAAAGGTATTGTAGTCATGCAGGGAAAGGCCAAAGTTAAATAAGATTATCACACAGCAAGTATTCTCTTCAGAAGTGACTGACAATGCTGGAAGTTAAGCCCACTGATGTAATGTAACTCCTTACGTGATACAGACTGCCGTGACATGGTATCCAGGCAACAATAGTGCTTTTGTAGTATAGTTAAGTTTTATTTATTTATTTGTTTACCACGGGTTTATTGTGACGTCTGCAAACAGAATGAGTAATGGTCCAGTTTCACTTAACCTCACTTTGTTTAGCAAAGCGAGTAGTTAATGTAATCCCATGGAGCGTTTCATATTACATCATTATCAGAATTTATTATATATTGTTTAATGGAAGCATAATCACTGTGCTAATCATTATACTGTTTTTTCACTGTAAATGACCACCAAGTAAGCTGATTACACATAACTCTCAGCTACTTTAGAGGGAAGCTTTATGTCAGTGGAAGGCCTCATTTAGATTTCTGCAGGGAGCCTGCAATGTAACCTACATAGGTGGCCAAGGTCTTGCCAGCATTATGTGTTAATTACCTCGTGGGCTTGTTTTGGTTTTATGTGCGGTGCCAGCTGATAGAAACAAATAAAATGCTGGGATTTTTTTTTTCTACTGGGACCCCAACTCTCAGTGGAAGTCAATTATTTTACTGACTTCTGTTTGGCATGTAGGAAATTCGTTTCCTTATTAACCAGTTGTTTTCCCTTTCTCCTTGCAGTCTGGAGCTGAGTGAGTGGAGGGGGCAGAACCAGAGGACGTTGGCCATCGGCTGGTTTCCTGCAAGCCTCACTGTCCCATCACTCCCCTCAGCTGCTGCTGCAGCTGCCGCGGTGTCCTCCGGCAGCTCCGGGCCTAACCCTGGTGGCTACATCTCAACCCCAGTAAAGGGCAGTTTGCAACACACCGGGCACGGAAACGTCAACCCTGAGCGCTCCTGGGGAACGCCTGAGAACCTGGACGAGTCAGTGATAACCCTCATTCACTCCTCCCTAACGTTGTTTTTTAAAATATCTTTGAGTCTTTAATAATTTTGGGGTGGTTGCTTCGTCATAATGTGTTGACCAGATACAAAATCGGGTCAACACATCAGGTGAAAAAGAGGTTTCAGTGAGTTATTCTAACTGACAAGTTTTGTGTCCTGGAAAGAAAAAAATGTACATTTTCATCTCAGGTCCCTGAGTCACTGAGTTTTATTGTACAATGATAAGCACAGCACTCAGCTGTTTCCTGTTTTTAGTTAATATATTTTGTAAACTAAAGCTGTCAGTCTAATGCGTTTACTGTGGTGACCTGTGCAGAGCTGGTGGCGGCTGGAGGTCAGGACCCAGCAGGGAGAAGGAGGGATCCAATCTGCAGAAAATGGCAGGTAGGAACTAAGAATACATGTGGGTTTAAAATGTAGTGATCAAAACCACCAGGTACAGCTCTGAGAAATAAAAAGTCAGCATAAAAAATAGAATAGACTGTCATTATGTTAATATTGCAGGGGTTTTTTCCAAGGCTGAAGGCAAGACTTGATCATTTCATATATATGTGTTATTATATTTGTACAATTATGCTTTCATTTATTTGCAAATGCAATCTTAACTCTTACAAGTTTAGACTTTTATAAAGCTTCAAATTCATGTCAGCCAGAAATTGCTCACTTTTGTTTAGCAACTCTGCCCCCTGGTGGCTCAATCAGGAAGCTTGGTAGGAGCTGGGAACAATGCGGAATAACGGTGCTGTGTGGAGTTTGGATACTGTCATTGTGCCTCTGTGGGCTCACTCTGGATACTCCCACTGCTTTCTCCCACAGTCCAAAGAGGACTGTGTTGAATGCATGCATGTTAGATTAACTGGGGATTCTACAGACTGGTGATCTGTGATAGCTGGTAGATGATTGAGCACCACCACAACCCTGAATTCAATTAGCAGTAAAGGAAATGCATGTATGAAGGGAAAATGATTAATGTGTGAACTAATATGTTGGTTTTCTGAAGAGCAATAAGCAGCACTTGCCCTGCTTTTTGTCTTAACTGTCTGACTAGTGTATACATTTAATCTACTTGATAGTTTTTACACATTAAAAATATTTTTCTTTGTCTTCAGCTATGACTAGGAGCCTGGAGTCAGTCTTAGGTGGACATCGGCCCCGAGCTCATACAGTAGGGGTGTTCAGAGTGGATCAGCACGGAAAACTCCTTCCTCCTGTGATGCCGACTCACAGTGCGGTGATGCAACAGGATCCTCGTCGGCTGAGCGAGGCTAGTATCGCTGCCCCTCCTCGACCGCCACCTCCCAACCTGAAAGCGCTTCGAAAAATCCAAAGGATTAACCAAGGCCAGGGCAGCGCGTTGCCCCAGCAAATGGTTCCCCCTACACAACCCCAGCCTCAGCAGGTTGTTGGGGGTTCCAACCTCGCCAAAATGGCCCAGCTGGCACGCTCTACCCCACAGCTGGATGAGTACTCAGACAGCAGGGAGAGAGATCGGGAGCGAATAAGAGAACGGGAGAAAGGGCCTCAGAACACAAAAGAGGGTCTCATTGCACAGGCAAGTGATGCAATTCCTACAGATCAACATGATTTTTATGCCTTTTATAGTGATAAAACTGAATTTAGATAAAAAGTGAAGGTCAGTAAAACCTGTTCGTGGAAACAAATGCTTACCTGAAAAATGTCACATGGTATAAAAAAGAAAACATTTTATATTCAAACAAAGCAAAGGTCAACTTCACTGTGACATCATATATTGTGCAAAACTCATTTTCTGGCTATTGCTGAATCATAGACAGTATAAAACATGGGCATAGCTTCTGCTTTTAAAAAAATGTGCAAGTGTCTCAAACCTGCATTATATCTGAAGGCCAACAGATGGCGGTAGCTGTGGTTGCAAAACGAGTTCAAGTCCACATCAGCTTTTTAGCAACCAAAGCTACGTTCACACTGCTGGTCTTAATGCTCAATTCCGATTTTTTTTTTTTTTTTTTTTTTTTTTTTGTCTGCTCGTTCACACTACAAATAAAATGTGACAGCAAACGCGCTCCTGTGTGAACCCTCAAAGCGGCCCGCATGCCACATAAAAGGACAAAAGGACAAATTGCGGCCATATTTCACCAATTAAATTGTAGTTTACACTGATGTAAACGACAGCTTGTCTGGTTGGTAGTAATTCCAGTTTTCCTGCTCACTGTCTGCTGTTTTCATTGCTCTGTTCAGATTATGGAGGCGGTACATGGCGTGACCACGGACGAGGTTCATAACGCACTTCAACGAAATGACTGGAACCCAGTACGAGCTGAACAGCAACTAAAGGTCAGACCGTCAAATTAAAATTAATTTTTTTTTTTAATCGCACTTGCCTGTACCTGTTCTGTGAAGCTAATGATAAAATATGAGCCAAAGGAATCCAGTTTATACATGTAAAATATAAATGGCCATCAAGGGAAGTCAAAGCAGTATATGTACGATATAAGAGACAAAGTAATAATGTTAACATATACTGCTTATCCAGCATACACATAAACAGTAACAGTAGTCAAAATATGCACATTAATACAGCACAAGTCTTGTTTTGTGCACTTTGTTAGTTGGAGATAAAGGCAGGTGGTATATTTCTAACTCATGATATGAATTTTGCAGAAGGTCCTCGAGTTGAAAGCTCGGGACCATTATTGTTTTAGTTATGGCAATAATAAAAAAAAAAGGTTTTGCAACCACCCTTCCTCATCACATCAGCTTTTTTGGAACCAACATGGTGACAGCGTAAATGCTTATCTCAAGACTACAAAAGAGGAATTCAGAAACAGATTGGTACAATACACGGGTCACAGAAGTAGGTCGCTCGTCCCATAGATTTTGTATTATGGCAGCTATTTATCGTCCGGTTTGTGCACTTAATGCTAAGACATCACAGGGCAGCACAGTGGTGAGTTTAATATGTAACCAACAGTAAATCTGTGTCCAGAGTAGCCCTAACAGGAAATCCAGCTGTGCTTTATAGGCTTGTTCATGCATGTTAAAGAAATACTTATTAACTATAAACTTACCATCAAGTATTTAAAGAGAGGAAATCTGCAGTCTGTGTACATGTTATATGCAGCTTACGATAAACTGCTGCTTGTGTTTGTGCTGCGTCCATACCCACAGTGGGTTTTTCCTCCTTCTGAACTTGCTCCTCTTGTTTCTCTCTGCAGATGGAGCAGCTGTACTCGCTGAGCCTCTGCTCCAGAGAGGACTGCGTCAAGATCCTCGCCAAACACCAGTGGAACCTGCAGTTTGCCAGCCGCTATCTAATCCGAGTGACGACCAGCGACAGGCCCGGCCCGCCCTAGAGGGGTTGGCCTCTTACCAGCCCAGACAGAAGAGTCTGAAGAGATTTGAGGCAGCCACTGTGGCCGACTTTTTCCACACCATCGTGGTGTAACAGTGACACACTCCAACACTTGGAGCCCCTCAACTACAGGAGCACATGAAAATAGAAAAATGAAGGCAGACAAAGACAAAGCTGACTAATATTTTTGAGAAGCTTAGAAGAAACATGACATGTGATAAAATGACATGATGTGGTGTTATATAGCACTTCTTTTGCACATAGGTTTTCTGTTTTAATACATTTGTACATATTGTAGTAGAAACTTTGTTAAATAAAACTGATCTCTGGTGGCCTGAACACAGGATCTCAGCTCTGTGGCTCTTTAGTTCTCTAAGAGAGGCTCTGACCTTTGTCCTACTGCCTGCTAAGATTGACCCTGTGTACACCGACACGTTACAACTGGTTTAAACAATGTTAGGTGATCATGCATTTAAAAAAATAAATAACTACAAAGCCATGCCTCAGTGTTCCTGAGGGATGGATGGACGGACATGTGCAGACATGTTCTGAAATAATATATATGAACATCTCACATGATCCCAGGAGATGGAGCACTAAGATTTGATATCTAATCTGGTGGCACTTTGGTCGTCTTCCACTCATGCTTCTGAACCAGGGAATGGATCTAAAAAGATAACTTCCTGTTAATAGGTATATAGTATAGAACTTCAGACTGAAGTGTGGATGCCATCAAAGTGTGGATGAATATGTACATATATAACTATGCATGCACATATAACACATTTGGTTGGTGATGGCAAACAGCTAGCAACCAAATTTAAAAAGAACAAAAAAACAAGTCAATTGATTCAGTTAAGATTCTGGTCTCCTCTCTAGTTCTCTGTACCAGCAGTCATAACTGCACCAACTCTTTCCAGGGACTTAGGAACTACAGTGTTTCATGCAAGCTTTGCCTGTGGGGTTTTCCAACCATTCTGAGGCCAGATCAATGCTCACTAACCTCAACATCTGCTTTTAAATTTTTCCCTCAACCTGCATTTTCTCTCTGTCATTACGCAGGCACATGTTCAAACTAGAGATGGACCGATCCGATATTGCGTATCTGTATCGGTCCGATACTGACCTAAATTACTGGATCGGATAT